TCTGTGTAGGCCAGAACAAAGGCAGGGAATCTCCAGGAGTTAGAGTAACAAACATGTAACAGTTGTGAGCCACCTGACATACATACTGAGAACGGAACCTGGGTCCTTTGGAAGAACAGTGATTTCTCTTAACCACTGATCCACACGTACTAGGATTTCTAATAGGTACTTCATATGTGTGTCCACCTTCCCCGGTCAATTGTAAGCTTCTTAAGAACAGGAATACCAGCTGGGTCATGACGGCGCATGCCTTTAATCACAACACTCAGAAAGCAGAGGCAGGCAGATCTCTGAGTTTGAGGCCACCCTGGTCTAAAGTGAGTTCCAGGACATACAGGGCTATACAAAGAAACTCTGTCTTGCTGGGTGGTGGTGGCGCACGCCTTTAATTCCAACGCTCGGGAGGCAGGCAGATCTCTGTGAGTTCGAAGCCAGCCTGCTACAAGAGCAAGTTCCAGGACAACTTCCAAAGCTGTAGAGAAACCCTGTCTCAAAAAACAAAACACTGTCTCAAAACAAACAGAAAAGGAATCCCATCATTCTTATTTGGCATCTTGTATGTAGCCTAGAGCCTGGTGTGTAGCAGTTATGTGTATTTGCCAAACCTTACCTCCTATGGGAACAGCCCCTAAACTTAGTGCCTTAACGTTAACATTATTATGATGTTTATTACCTTACATTAATGTTGACATTATTATGACATTTGTTACCTGTCTCATCTCACTTAGAATGTTAGATACACGTGATTTCAGGTTACATATTTGAGAACATGTTCGCTCCTGCTTTCTTCTCTCAGACTTTGCACCTGAGATTAAACTCTGCCTTCTGGTTACAATACCTGTGTTTTCAGCTAGCTCTGCTTCTGGCTTAGAGAAGGGAGTTTTGGTCTGTTGGGGATTGTTAGTAGGCTGATTGCAAGTATGTATCTGTTTAGCATGTCCATGATTCTTTTCCACAGCGTGGTCCCAGCTCATCCACTTCCCTCTTCTCAAGAAATTATAACATAAAACACTGTCTGGGCCTGGAGAGATGGCTCAGCAGTTAGGAGTACTTATTGCTCTAGAAGAGGATCTGAGTTCAATTCCCAGCATCCACACGGCGGTTTGCAATGGTCTGTAATTCAGTCCCAGGGGATCTGAAGCCCTCATCTGACTTTTGAGGGCACCAACCAAGCATGTGGTGCACATACATACATGGAGGCCAAACACTCATACACGAAAATAATAAAATACATCCTTTTTAAAAGTTAAAAGTAAACACTGCCTTTGGTGATTTTTTTTAATTTTTATTGACATTTATTGAGCTTTACATTTTTCTCTGCTCCCCTCCCTGCCTCTCCACTCCTCCCTTAACCCTCCCCCAATGTCTCCATGTTCCCAGTTTACTCAGAAGATCTTGTCCTTTTATACTTTCTACTTCCCATGTAGATTAGATCTATGTAAGTCTCTCTTAGTGTCCTCATTGTTGTCTAAGTTCTCTGGGATTGTGGTTTGTAAGCTGGCTTTTTTTGCTTTATGTTTAAAAACCACCTATGAATGAGTACATGTGATAATTGTCTTTCTGGATCTGGGTTACCTCACTCAAAATAATGTTTTCTAGTTCCATCCATTTTCCTTCAAAATTCAAGCTGTTATTTTTTTCTGTTGTGTAGTACTCCATTGTGTAAATGTACCACATTTTTCTTATTCATTCTTCGGTCGAGGGGCATTTAGGTTGTTTCCAGGTTCTGGCTATGACAAACAAAGCTGCTATGAATATAGTTGAGCACATGTCCTTGTGGCACGATTGAGCATCCTTTGGATATATACCTAAAAGTGGTACTACTGGGTTTTGAGGAAGGTTGTTTCCTAATTTTCTGAGAAATCGCCACACTGATATCCAAAGGGGTTGTACCAGCTTGCATTCAGTGGGGACTTTTTATGGTTGGCTTTCCATTTAGTAGGGTAGAGTAGAGAATTTGTTGGAAAAACTTTAATAGCACAAAATCAGTGGAGCCAGCTGGGTTTGGTGGCCACACCACTACCTCTTTCAGTTCAGTGCCATCCTGGTCTGCATAGCTAATTCCAGGCCAGCCAGTGCCACACAGTGATACCCTTCTCAAAAATAAAGTTTCTGAGCTGGGCAGTGGTAGTGCACACCTTCAATCCCAGCATTTGGGAGGCAGAGGCAGGTGGATCTCTGTGAGTTCGAGGCCAACCTGGTCTACAAGAGCTAGCTCCAGGACAGGCTTCAAAACTACAGAGAAACCCTGTCTCAAAAAACCAAAATGAATGAATGAATTAAGGAATGAATGAATGAATAAATAAAAGCTTTTAAAATTGAATGGGGGGCTGAATGGCTCAGTTTTTGGGAGCACTTGTTGCTTTTGAAGATGACCTGTGTTTAGATGCAACACCTGACAGCTCCCAACTGCCTATCATTCTTGCTATCAAGGACCTGATCCAATGCTCTCTTCTGGCCTTCACAGACACCCAGCACACATGACACATATAGAGATATACACCACATACTCACACACACTTTTTTTAAAAGATTAATTAATTAATTTATTTATTATGTATACAGTATTCTCAGTATTCTGTCTGCATGTTATGTATGCCTGCAGTCCAGAAGAGGACACCAAATCTCATTACAGATGGCTGTGAGCCACCATGTGGGCGCTGGGAATTGAACTCAGGACCTCTGGAAGAGCAGTCAGTGCTCTTAACCGCTGAGCCATCTCTCCAGCCCAAAAATAAGATCTTTTAGAAATAAATTAATATAATCCAAGTCTAAATCAACAGAATTTTCTTCCAAACTTGTTTAAATTGTTCTAAATTTAATTTGGAAGATTAAGTTATTTAAGAATCATTGTGAGCTGGGCATGGTAATATACCCATAATACCAGGTATCAGGAGACTGAGGCAGGAGAATCACTGAAAATACTAAGCCAGGCAAGGCTACATAGTGACCCTGTCTCCAAAAACCAAAATAAATACACAAAAGTCAGCCAGGTATGGTAGTGCATGCCTGTGACCTCAGGCCTGCACTCAGGAAGCAGAGGCCAGACATTTGATACTCAAAGTCCATCCGTAGGATGCCAGAGACTAGAACCCTTGCTTGATACAACAAAACCACACCCAAAATTCAAACACTCTTAAGTAAGAGTTGCTGGGTGTGGTGGCACCTCAGCACTTGGAATGTGAGGCAGGAACGCCTGGAGTTCAAGGCCACCCTTAGCAATTTAGTGACTCCAGTGCAGGCCTGGTCTAAAGACAAGCAACAAAACAACCAAAACAACCAGGCAATGGTGGCGTACAACACTTGGGAGGCAGAGGCTAGTGGAACTCTGTGAGTTCAAGGCCAACCTGGTCTACAGAGCAAGTTATAGGACAACTAAATCCTGTCTTAACCCCCCCTCAACACACACACACACAAAGGTGGTGGTGGCACATGCCTCTTTAATCCCAGCACTTGGGAGGCAGAGGCAGGTGGAGCTCTATGAGCCTGGTCTACAGAGTGAGTTCCAGGACAGCCATGGCTATACAGAGAAAAACCCTGACTTGAAAAAATCAAAAACTAGCCGGGGGCTGGAGAGATGGCTCAGTGGTTAAGAGCATTGCCTGCTCTTCCAAAGGTCCTGAGTTCAATTCCCAGCAACCACATGGTGGCTCACAACCATCCGTAATGAGGTCTGGCGCCCTCTTCTGGCCTGCAGGCATATACAGAGACAGAAAGAATATTGTATACATAATAAATAAATAAATATTAAAAAAAAAAACAACTAGCCGGGCAGTGGTGGCACACGCCCTTAATCCCAGCACTCTGGAGGCAGAGGCAGGTGGATCTCTGTGAGTTCGAGGCCAGCCTGGCCTACAAGAGCCAGTTCCAGGACAGGCTCTAAAACTACAGCAAAACCCTGTCTCAGAAAACCGAAAAAATAAAAAAATAAATAAAATACCAAAGACTAAAGTAATAAATTAAGAATTTTTTTAAAGAAACTTGGGTGTGGGGAGATGGCTCAACAGCTCCAATCACTGCTCTTCCAGAGGACCATAGTTCAATTCCCAGCACCCACCTGGTCACAGCTATCTTTAAAGTCAGTTTCACCAGGGGATCCGATGTCCTCTTCTGGTCTGCAGAAGCACCAGGCACACAAGTGGTGCACAGACATTCATGCAAGCAAAATACAGCCACACAAGTGCATGTAGGCAAAACACATACACACAGAATAACAAGATTATTTAAAAAAAAATCAAGAGAGAGCTAGAGAGATGGCCCAGAGATTGAGTACTGACTGCCCTTCATAAGGTCCTGAATTCATTCCCAGCAACTGCACAATGGCTCACACCCATCTATACTGAGATATGGTGCCCTCTTCTGGCCTGCAGGCATATATGCAGGCAGAGCACTGCATATATAATAACTAAATAAATCTTTTTTTAAGAAAAAAAAGATTTAAAAAAATCAAGACAGACAACATGCCAGGTGTGGTGGCACATGCCTTTAATTCCAGTATTCGGGAGACAGAGCAAGCAGACCTCTGTGAGTTCCTCTCCAACCTGGACTACAACTTGAATTCCAGAAAAAACCAGGGCTACATAGTAAAACCGTTGAAAGAAAGAGAGAGAAGAAAAAGGACACAGACCAGGCGGTGGTGGCGCCTGCCTTTAATCCCAGCACTGGAAAGGCTGAGGTAGGCAGATCTCTGTGAGTTCAAGGCCAGCCTGGTCTATAAGAGTTAGTACCAGGACAGGATCCAAAGCTACAGAGAAACCCTGTTTCGAAAAACAAACAAACAAACAAACAAAAATTTATCCAATTTCAGCAGCTTGTAAAAAAGGAAAAAGAAAAGAAAAAGGATACTGGTGCGGGAGAATTATCTGTATTCTGTCAATCATATTTTAATAAAACACTGATTGGCCAGGCAGGCAGTATAGGCAGGAAAGCCAGACAGGAAGTAGAGGTGGAGCAAAGAGACTGGGAGTATTCTAGGAAGCTCCCTCTGCCATTCCTGTGCAGACCACCGAAGAGACAGCATGTAACCTGCCCAGCTGAAAAAGGTACTGAGCTGTGTGGCTAACATAGATAAGGATAATGGGGTAATATATGTTATAAGAGCTAATAAGTAGCCAGAGCTAAGGGTCAATCAGTTTATAACTTAATGTAGACTCCGTGTAATTTTCCTTGGGACTTGCTGACTTGTTGGGGTACTGGGCGGGACAGAAACCCCAACAAGCCGGCCCTCATACTACAGGACACAGATACTGAACTGGACTCTCATACTGAGAAGACACAGTGAGAAGGATTCCTGGACCAGAGCTCTGGCTGGCTGGGGTGGCCTGTTGTGGGGTGCCCCAGAGTTCCACCTAGCTGGGGTGGCCTGTTGTGGGGTGCCCCAGAGTTCCATCCAGCTGGGGTGGCCTGTTGTGGGGTGCCCCAGATTCTGACCTCGACTCAGCTTGTAGGAACCTTGTAGTCATGATATGCCTGCCCCTCCTCCAGAGCCAGATAAGGACATACTGATGACCATGCCTCAAGGAAACAGGCTCTGACCTGAGAGCTGGAGCTAGGCTGGAATGAACCAGAAGAAGAAATGCAGACAATCCCATTGATCTTTTAAACATTCTATGTGTGTGTGTACACTTACAGCTATCAACGGACAACTTTCAGGTTTGTCTCTCTCCTGCTCCCTTTATAAGGTTCTGGGGATTGAATTCAGGTCCCCTGGCCTAGTGCCTTTACCTGCCCAGCCGTCCTCCCAGTCTATAATATCTTGACACCTCTCCTTGGAAACAGACATCATTTTCTCCTTGCCACAGCCTAGTCAACTGCGCCCCTATGTTTCTCAGTGTCTGTACTAACCATTGCAGTGTCCAGAGGCCCAAACACCACCTCCCTCCAGACTTGGACACCTACTCTGACACACAGGGCTCAGCACAGTTGTGACTTAGCTCAGTGAGAAAACAGTCCAGCTAGCACTGCATGAGGCAGTGAGGAGAAGCCTAGAGGAAACCAGCCTACATAATGAGTCCTTTCTCCTTGGAGTTGTACACGAAATGCTTAATTCTTCCTGCAGCTGGAGGTTGGATGTTTACCTGTGACAAACGTCTGTAATCCTAGCATTTAGGAAACAGAGACAAGAGGATCAGGAGTTTAAGGTCATCCTAGGCTACACAGAGAGTCCAAGACTAACCCAATCTCCAGGATGCCTGTTCCGAAATCAAATAGAGCTGGGAGAGAACTCAGTACAACACTCAGTATGCACAAGACCTGCATTCAGTTCCCATTTTCACAAAAATTAAAATCATCGATCATAAAAACCAACAACTTAGGGGTTAACCTGAGGAAAAGTGGTGAGCAGAGACCCCCAAAATGTCGGCAAACCTGCATGGACTCCATGCGTGAAGATTCCTCCTTCCCCAGGCCCTAGCAGGTTGCAGCGCATCAGCTGCTGATGTGTGTGTTTCCTGAAGTCATTGTGTGTGACAGTGTGTCTTTTTTGTTGTGGTTTGTTTGCTTGTTTGTTATTGGTTTCTTGGGTTTGTTTGTTTGTTTATTTTTGTTTGTTTCAAGACAGGGTTTCTCTATGTAGCCCTGGTTGTCCTGGAATTCACTTTTGTAGAGCAGGCTGACCTCCAACTCACAGAGATCCACCTGCTTCTGCCTCTCTAGTACTGGGCTTAAAGTATTTTTTATTTGTTGTTGTTGTTTTGTTTTTGTTTTTTAGTTTTTCGAGACAGGGTTTCTCTGTGTAACAGTCCTAGCTGTCCTGGAACTAACTCTTGTAGACCAGGTTGGCCTCGAACTCACAGAGATCCGCTTGCCACCACCACCCAGCCCTGTACAATCTTTAAAAACCCACCTCAGATTAAAAGAACAAAACGCTCTTAATGACTCTTTGCTGAGTACTGAAGTCAAAGCTAACACCTTGATCGTAAATAGATTCTTTTTCCAAAATGGATTTAGGGTTGAGAGTATTCCTTTCACAGTGGTAGAGCACTTGCCTAGTAGGGATGAGACCCTGGGTTGTACCCCAGGCACCAACAAACAAACAAGCAAAAACAAAATAAAAATCAAATCCCAGGAGCAAGTGCACGATTGCATGGGCAGATGCTTTTAGAAGTCAACAGCAGCCAGGTAGCATGCACACCTTTAATCCTGACAGAGGCAGGCGGATCTCTGAGAGACTGAGGTCAGCCTGGTCTACAGAGCGAGTTCCAGGACAGTCAGGACTACACAGAGAAACCCTGTCTAGGAAACAAAAACAAACCAAACAAAACGTCAACAAGCATCAGTTTGGAGGGCTGTTTCTGAAACCCGGAGAGGCCGGGTTCTACAATGCCAATGCAAGCAGTGGAGGCCAAGAGCTTGCCAGATGTCTTCACTCACAGAGCGTCCCCAGCTGCTGCTCAGACCACTACAGCAGATTTCCGTCTCCTGTGTGTAGGCTGTGTCTCTTAAATGCAAACTCCACCTGACAGCAAAACCTCCTAAAACTACAAGATTTGGTGGCACAACCCTGTAGTTCCAGTTCTCGGGAGGTGGACTTAGGAGGATAAGAGGTATCTCAGAATTGGCTGGCTTTTCCATTGTCCCCTGCCAGCTGGAGGTCACACTCACACACTTACGCACTGGCGTGCTACCTCTCCCCTGGGCTCCGTGTGTGGTAGCTACCATGGAACCCATCACATGGCTTCACACCTTTGCCTGTGCAGTTCCCTCCATTCGGTGTGCCCCTCTGATGCCACCAAGCTGGTTCAAGGGAAACCGTCCCTGGTCCTCACTGTGCCCACAACACCTTAAGCCATTTTTAGCCTTGCACTTATGTCAGGGCACCTATTCCTGGGTCTCCTTCCCACAGCGAGCTGCCGAACTGGAACAGGAACTGCTGGCCCTGTGGCTCTCTGTCTCCCCGCCCCTAGCCAAGTCCCTGGCATGCAGAAACTAGGTCAGGCTGGGCTCAGTGGTTTATGTTTGGAATCCCCAGCATTCAGAAGGTCAACAATTCCAGGCCAGCCTGGGCTACATGGTGAGACAAAAGGATGCAGGGGTCAAGCACAGTGGCAACACCTCTAATCCCAGCACTCGGAGGACTGAGACAGGGGGGTCCAGGGTTCAAGACTAACCTGAACTATATAGCAAGTCTCTATCTCAGAAAAGTTAAATTAAAAACTTTTTATTTAGTCTCTCTCTCTCTCTCTCTCTCTCCCTTTCTTCCTTTCTTTCTTTATGTGCTATGTAGCCAAGAAGTTCGAGTTCAAGCCGCGTTGAGCTCCTGGTCCTCCTGCCCCTACCTCCCAAGCATTAGGATTACAAGTATGTGCTAGTGTGCCCAGGTTTTTTTCCCCATTTATCTTTGTATCTCTGCTATCTTCCAAAAAATTGTCTGAGGTGGACTGGCAAGATGGCTCAGCAGATGAATGCCCTTCCCCCCAGTCCTGGCAACCCGAGTTTCTTCTCTCAGGACTCAGGTGGTGGAAGAGGTGACTACTTCAGACTACTCTCTAACCTGACCTCCACACTCATGCTGTGGCACGCGCGCACACACACGACAAACACCGAATAAATGTAGAAAGAAATTGAGGCAACTTAAAAATTCATTAAAACATGTCCCTTGTCTCCCCTCCCCCAAAGTATCCAATTCCTATTTATGTCCTGTTGCCTGGGGCAGGGTCACGTGGTCTTCTCCAGCCCTGTGAAGGCTGGGAAAGCATGTTTGCGGTTCAGCTTTCCAGCCCTGATAGTGGAGCTGTCAAGGGAGAGGCTGTTGAAGACGACCAGAGAGTCTGCCACTGAGCACAAATAGCATCCAACACTTGCTAACCAGCTTCTTATCTGACCCAAGAGTCCTGCCTCACTAGCAAATAAGGCTCCCTCTCCTCAATGTGTAAGACACAGAGCTCTATTTATGAAAGAAAATTAATTAATCTTTTGCGATTACCCCTACCCAACTAATTCCCAGGAATGACGAAGGATGTTTACATTCAGAACTCCTATGGATAGCAACAGCAGGAGCCCGGCTCTCATTAGCCTAAATGAAAAAGAGACTATCAGCCTACAGCTAAACGGCAGACCATGCTGTGGTGAGGCTGAGCCTCCATGGCACCGGACCTTCACCAGCTTCTCACTGTCCTTTTCTTAGCCCTGATTTTCCCTCCCTGGTGGATTCATCCTCCATGACACCAGACTTAGAGCCTCCACCGCTCCAGGCTTACATCCTCATAACCCTGAATCCCAAGGGGAAAAGTATGGCCTGGAGAAATGGCTCAGTCATTAGGAGTACCGTGGCTTTCTCAGAGGTCCTGAGTTCAATTCCCGGTGCCCACACGATGGCTCACACCTGGCTGTGCCTCCAGTCCCAGGAGAGCTGGCCCTCTTCCGCCTTCAGGCACAGACTGCACATGGCACACCGACATATATTTGGTCAAACACAAATACACATTAAATAAAAATTAACTTTTTAAAAAACTCTAAAAAAAAATGAGAAGTAAGCAAACATGATTGGTCCTGTCCCCATTTGATGCTGTTCAAAGCAGGATACTTCAAGTGCCAGGGCAGGTACTTACGGAGTGGGGTTATCGTGGGGAGAGGACAGCTCAGACATGGCTTGAAGCCAATAGAAAGTCTTTATTAGCTGACTGGTGCCTACACTGGGTGTTTGGGATCCCAGTATAGCACCAAGCCTTCCTCAGGGTGAGCCTTTAAGCACAAAAACCGTGTTCTGGGTTAACATAGGTCAGTCACCAAGAACAGTTAGCCAGAAGCAGAACCACAGAAGCCAAAAAGCAAGGTTAGTACATCGAGAGACTTTCCCAGAACTACAGACTTCGATGGATTGGGTCTTTGATTTTTTTGTTTGTTTGTTGTTTTTGTTTTGTTTTCCGAGACAGGGCTTCTCTGTAGCTTTGGAACCTGTCCTGGAACTAGCGCTGTAGACCAGGCTCACCTCGAACTCACAAAGATCCACCTGTCTCTGCTTCCTGAGTGCTGGGATTAAAGGCGTGCGCCACCACCGCCCGGCGGGTCTTTGTTCTTGGCAGGTGGTACTATCTATGTGCTGATTTTATCTGCATGCTACTTCCATCATGGAGTCAGTTGTGCTGAGGTCTGGGGGGCTGTCACGGTGAGATTCTGAGATCATTTACCCCACCAGAGTTAACACAGTCCGGTTTAGTAAGGTGGGTGCCCAAAGAAACAAAAGTACTGACACTGCCAGAGAGATGGGAACTAAGCAACAGGCGATGGAAACCGCAGGCATCTACCCACCTGGGGGGTCACTCTGTCCTGTCTCTTCACCACCTCACTGCGGGCACTGAACCCTAACATGTGAAGTGGACATTAGGAGGACGCCTATAACAGAAACAAGACCAAATTATGGCCTACAGTACTAGAATTTCTCAGGCTTAGTGGGCCCTGCCCTCGGTTCCATAATCAAGAATCAGTAAGAGTCCTAAGGTGAGGTGTCCTTCCCCTCACACCTCAGTCCGCAGCTCCCTCACACAGTCTCTTGAGCCCCAAGGAACAGCTCTCAGCCTCTGCACTTTTCCCCAGTGTGTGGCCCACAGCCACTTACTGTGCCACCGCCCATGAATTCCTCATTGGTCCTGCCATGGCTTCCCTCACACAGTCCGCATTGCCTGACTTAGGTAGCTTTGCTCCTTCTGAGAACCCCATCCTGTTCCAGTGACTTAGTTCCTCATCAGGAAATGTAATCCCCGAAATAAGTGCAGGAAGTTGATACTATTTTGCTGTCAGGCAGATATGGGGAAACTTGGGGAGCAAGAATAAGGCAGTCTACATGTCCACCCGGGGTTTTGGGCTACGGAGTCCAGATATCTGGTGCTCGCATTACTAATGTGTTCAGCTTGCCTGCTTCTACCCATGCATTCATAACTGTTTGGTGCAGAATTGTCCAGGTAGGCAGGCACGAAGGGAGGTCATTACTACCTTCATGATTCTCAAGGAAGAGACCTGTTTTTCACACAACTTGCCTCTCCCAAATTATAACAGAGGTCTATAATCCCTACGACTCAAGCATCTGAGGCACGAAGATTAAAATTTCATTGCCTGCCTTGGTTGCAGAAAGTTCCAGACAAGCCCAGGCATCTCAGCGAAAGCACGTCTCCAAAGGGAAAGGGAAAAGAAATGGAGCTGGGTGGTGGATCACTGGACCTCTGCTCAACCCCTCCCACTCCTGCGCCTCAGGAACAACAGGTGGGAATGCGAACAGGGACTAGGAAGATTGCTCAACGGCAGATCACTTCTAGGTTTCGGGAGGTCAGAACTCACGTTATAGCTCTGGCAGGCCTGGGACGTGTCATTCTCCTGTCTCAACTTCCTGCATAGCTGGGGGTATAGTCTCCGCACTACCTAATGCAGCCAAGCTTGCTGCTTTCAAAACCTTGCAGTTGGATATCTGTTGACCCAGCACTTTTGGAGGCTGAGGCAGAAAGGATATCGAAAATTCCAGACTGTCTTGTATGCAAATTAGTGTACACACACACACACACACACACACACACACACACAGGACCCAGGGCAACCTGGCCATGCATGGTGCCCAGGTCACATAGCTGCTGTAGCAGGCAGCACCAGTTTCCAGGAAAAACCATAAGCTAGCACTACCCAGGTACAGACCATCCAAAAGAAATTCCTAGCATTGCAACCATTGTAGATAGGATCACCAGCCAGCACATACCCTTGCTTTTCACCAGGACACCCTTAGACAAATGTCAGCCAGTCAGGCGTCCTGAATCTTAGAAATCACCAGGACACCCCTAGACAAATGTCAGCCAATCGGGGGTCCTGAACCTTAGAAATTCCTCACCCCCTACCTTTGCTACTTTTAAAAACTCAACCCCAGCTGAGCTGGGGGCTCTCAGACCACTCCAATATGTTGGGAAGACGCAGAGTCTGAATTTGCAAATTTGTGTAAGAATTGAGGCTCTTTGCTTTTACATACAGGACTCCGTCTCCTTGTTGGTTTTGGGGGGACTCCGTGATCTGGATACATCACTCTCACACACACACACACACACACACACCCCACCTTGTCCTTGCTCAGTGAACTACAAGAAGCTTTGCTTTGAACTCCTCTCTGAGTGAAGACCCCAACGACAGTCATCTCCATTGGAGCTCAATTAACATTCTCTAATTCTCCCTTAAAGGTTCCAATTGGAAGTCCTCAAACATCTGACCAGCAGGTGGCGCTAAACACCCGCGCCTCCTCTTAGGCCTGCCGGGGTCTACTTACAAATTCTGTCTGTATCCTTGCACAGCGACCTGCCCTTGACGGGGTCTGGATGTAGCCCTTAGGATAACGAGATGGCAACCCAAATGTTCACTTCAGCCTGGTAAGCGTAGGGCGGTGGAGCAGGCACCTAGTGTGAGCTGAACTCAATAAAGAGTCAGGAAAAGGGTGGAGAGGCCAATGCCTTACATAAAACAAAGAAACCCAGCCAACAAACCACAATCCCAGAGAACTTAGACCACCATGAGGACACTAAGAGAGACTTACATAGGTCTAATCTACATGGGGAAGTAGAAAGTATAAAAAGACAAGATCTCCTGAGTAAATTGGGAGCATGGGGACCTTGGGGGAGGATTGAAGGGGGAGGGGAGAGGCAGGGAGGAGAGCAAAGAAAAATGTAGAGTTCAATAAAAATCATGGAAATAAATAAATAAGTAGAAAAGAAAAAGGGTGGAGAGAAGTCAACTCAGTAGCCCCTCGAGCTACTATAGTAATTTGAATGAAAGAAGGAGTGGCGAAGATGTCGAACAGCCCTGGTGGGACCTGGTTCACAATGTTGGAACAAGGAACACGGTCCAAGAAGGGAGCCTTGTGAGGGGAATTCTGAGTGCTTGTGAGAAAACTTCAAGAAAACAAGACCCCTGTGATCTGTTTCTTCAAAAACAAGGAATTGTTCTCGGACTGTGTTTTTTATGTGGCTCCCAGGTGTGGAGAAAAGGAGTGAGTTCACTTCAGATTACTCACGACGACCGGCTATTGTTATTTATGTGCCTCTATGGGGAAAAGGTGTTTTTACCCGGTGTGGCTTGTCCCTGTGATTGAAATCTGATTCTGGTGACGCTTCTTAACCTTCAGAGTAAAAATTGCCTGGTGCTCTGAATAAAGTTGGCTATTCCATAAGACTTTATTTAGTCTGTCTCGTTTTCTAGGCCCTTCTCTCCCAGGTCCCACCGCCTCAAGAGCGGTGAACATTACCAAACTTGTGCTGCATTAGAGGCTGTGCAGGGCTGAGAAAACGGAACTCAAGAGAGGAAGAGAGAGACTAGAACAAACCAGAAAGCTATGCAGCAGCCCCTCGCCCTTTTAGAGTCTCTTCTGGTTCTCCCTGAACGCATTTCTTCGCTCTACGTGCACCTGTGTGCCTCTGTGCTGTGGCTGGAACTTAGTGCCTTGCACACATAAAACATCTCCTCTACCACTGAGCAAATCCAGCCTCTATATTCTTTTTAAACTTGCTAGATAATTTGGTCAGGGCTGACAGAGCTGTCCCACCCGGCTGTCCTAAACTGAACATTCACCAGTGTGGATAGTATTGTCGTGACCTGGTGACAGACCTGCAGGTATGGGTCTAACACGGAGATGGATAGAGGAGGGGTTCTCCCCAGTCAGTGCATATGTGGGCTGGGTCCCATACTGGGGACAGGGGGGATGAGCTGCCTAGTGGGGACCTGGGGCTGACAGCCTAGATAGTGAGGGCATGGTGTCTGAGGGGTTTCTGCTGAGAAAGGCACAAATCAGCCCAGCAAAAGCCAGTTAAGGGGGGGCCTTGGGTGGGTTCCTAGAGGCTTGGATTGTTTCAAAGTAGCTCCTGAGTATAGGAGAAAGAACAGTTCAAAAAAAAAAAAAAATCACAGCAGGCGCAACAGCCCTCAGGGAAGCAGAAGGAGATTGAGGAATGGGATGACTCAGCAGGTTTGAGGAAACAGCTGCCTTCTGGGGAAAGAAGTTCCAGGTCACCTCCAAGACCTCTGGGCTCACAGGACTGAAGAACCTGGCTAAGCTCACCCCACTGGTTGTTCACATCTTTCTGGTGTGTTCCCCTCTCTCAGAGCTTCTAAGGGGTGCCACTGGAGGTCGGAGCATTTGCTAATGTGGGACTCAGGCACAACTGTCCCATCCCTGCCTCCAGATAAGCACTGGCAGATAAGGCCTGGACTTTCGTGATGGGATGACATGGGGGTCAAAGAGACAGTTGAGGGGAGATCCTAACCCTTCTCTCTACACCCACATTGTAGCAGAGCATACCCCAGTCTCTCCCCTTATTTTCCATTGAACTGTCATTGTGCCTGCCCAAGCCCATCTATTTCCCAAAAATTGCCAGCCACACTGGGACATGGGCCACAATCTCATGCCGCTGCCTGCAGCTGCCTGGGTTCTTTCAGGTAACTACACTTAGGTGAAGCTAGGATTCTTCACCGATGAAAAAATTTAGAGACAAGTTGATTCTTACACAAGTTTGCAAATTGGGACTCTCCACGAGTCCACTGTATTCGAATGGTCGAAGAGCCCCAAGCTCAGCTAGGGTTGGGTTTTTATAGTAGCAAAGGTGGGGGTGAGGGATTTCTAAGGTTCAGGACTCCTGATTGGCTGACTTTTGTCTAGGGGTGTCCTGGTGAAAAGCGATGGGTGTGTGCTGGCAGGTGATCCTATCTACAATGGTTGGAACCTTAGGAATTTCCTTTGGCTGGTCTGTTCTGGGTGGTGCCTGGGTGGCCTCAGTTTGTGGTCTCTCTTGGAACCAGGTATTGCCTTAAGAAAAACTACTGAGACTCAGGCCTCTATTGAGCTTGAGGAGAATTATCTCAAGTGTCTTTTTATGAGCGATATATATGACCTCAGTGGCTTCTAGAGTCACGTTTCAAAGAGGTGCTGAAGAACTTATGTGAGATCCTGGTGGGTCCTGGGGTGCATGGCATAAGATGACAAATATAAGCTAAAAACCACAAGCCACTAAAGTGGCAGGCACAGTTCAGATGTTTTTACCATACGCCAAAGTTTTTAGTCTAGTCTGAGATTCCCAGAACATTTTAGGTTCATATCTAGAAAAGGGTGTGAGGCAGCTGGGCAGCAGTGGCGCACACCTGTAATCCCAGCACTCGGGAGGCAGAGACAGGCAGATCTGTGAATTCGAAGCCAGCCTGGTCTACAGAATGGATTCCAGCACAGCCAGGGCTACGTAGAGAAACCCTACCACCACCACCACCCGGTTGTATGTTTGTTTTAATATGCCTTGGTGTTTGCCGGCATGTCTGTCTATGTGAGGATATCAGAAGCTCTGGAACTGGAGTTACAGACAGTTGTGAGCTGCCACATAACTACTGGGAGTTGAACCTGAATCCTCTGAAAGAGCAATCAATGCTCTTAACTGCTGTGTCATCTCTCTAGCCTGATGTTTAGATCTTTTTTTTCTTTTTCTTTTCTTTTTTTTTTTTTTTTTTTGATTTTTTTTTTGATTTTTCGAGACAGGGGTTCACTGTGTAGCTTTGGAGCCTATCCTGGAACTAGCTCTTGTAGACCAGACTTTCCTCAAACTCCGCCGATCTCTGCCTCCTGAGTGCTGAGATTAAAGGTGTGTGCCACCATCACCCAGCTTTGATGTTTAGGTCTTAAGGATGGTTCATTTTAACTTTTTTTTAGATTTTATTTTTGTGTGTATGAGTGTTTACCTGAATGAATGTCTGTGTACCATGTATGTACAGTGCCTGAGGAGTCAGATCCCCTGGGACTGGAGTGACAGATGAGAGCTGTCATGTGTGTGCTGGGAACTGAACCCTGGTACTCTGGAAGGTTGGGTTCTTGACTGCTAGGCTATCAGTTCAGCCCCTCTTTTTGAAAATCTTATCTGAAATATCTCTATATCAAGGAACATTGTCTCTGTAGGCAACCTTCACAGCAAATGCTGTCCATTGTTTTGAAGATCTTGACTCTCAACTGGTGAGGGACTTCAGCTAGACCCCAGAGGGAAGGCTTGCTTTCCGTTATCACTGTTATACCTGGTCCGTGGGGGCACCGAAAGACCACCAGGGAGACCGACTCACGGAAATGCAAAAGCAAGGTTTATTGTGTGCACATTACATTACAAGCCTGCCGGGACCTCGTCAGCACAGATGTGGCAAGAGGAGGTAGCCCGCCCTTCTAAAGGACACTATTTTAAGACAAAAACCAGAAAAGTTGCATTAGCAGGGTGTGGGGTGACAGGTTCAATTTGTCTAGGGGTGTCCTGGTGAAAAATGATGGGTATGTGCTGGCTTGTGATGCTGTCTACAATGGTTGGAACCTTAGGAATTTCCTGTGGATGGTCTGTTCCTGGGTGGTGTCTCAGTTTGTGGTCTTTCTTGGACCAGGTATTGCCTCCACGGTTACCTGGCATTTATATGACTGCCAGAGATCTGAACTCAGCACTGCCATGACAAGCCCTTTACCCACTGAGTCACCTCTTTGGCCCCCAGAGCTATGGCCTTTGATGTTGTTCTGTTTGAAACAGGGTTTCTCTACATATCCCTGGCGGGCAAAGAGCTCTCTGTGTAGCCCAGGCTAGCCTTGATCTCACAGAGATACACCTGCTACTTGAAAGCTAAGAGGATAGCAAATTCACAGTCTGCCTGAGCTACTGTTCCTTCAGAGCCAATACTGGCAACTGACACCCTGTCTCAAAAAATGAAAAGAGAGCTGGGGATATAGCTGAGAGGTAGGGTTTGGCTTGCCTAGCATAGCAAGTAGGAAGCCTTGGGTTCAATTCCCAGTGTGGAAACCAAAAGGCCAAAGAAGCAAAATACTTCTCTGTAGCTCGGAGCTTGATTTGTGACGCTTGCTACACACGGTTAAGGCCAACAGCTAATGGTCCAGGTACCCAACACAAACGGTAGCTCCAGGGAAAGCAAGTGCCACTGTAAGAGACTACCCCATCTGGTACAGCGGTGCACAGGTGCACACCTCAGGAGGCAGAAGTAGGCCCGCCTGGTCTACACAGCAAGCGCGGAATCTGCCTGACTCCATTTTAAAGGCAGGAGCCATTATGATGTATTTTTAAAAATGAGAGGGTTTTTTTTTTTGGTTTGTTTTTCGAGACAAGGTACCTTAATCATTTTAAGGGTGCTTCAAAAATCAGGATAGGCTTTTTTTGTTGCTCTAAATGAGTTTTGAGTTTTTAGACTGAATGTATGTCAGTGCAACATGTGTGTCCTGCCCCTGGTACCCGCAGAGGCCATTAGCAGACTTTTTGTCTCCTAGAATTGGAGGTCCAGGTGACTGTGAGCTGCCTTCCATGTGTGCTGGTAGCACTAAGAGCTCTTAGCCGCTGAGCCGTCTCTCCAGCCCTTTACACTTATTTTTCCATTGTGTGTGAGGGAGCACGTGGGTGTCACGGTGCTGAGGGTTAATTCATTTTCCGCCATGTGGCTTCCAGGTATCAAACTCTAGCGCATTTGCTGGATGAGCCCTCTCCGGCCCCCAAATTACGATAAGTTAACAGGGTAGCACCGGTTTGTTAACTAAATCC